TCGCTCGTGTTTTCCTCGACTGGCTCCCCCGGTGCGGCTTTCAGGTCCTGCACGTGTATGTGTCGGGCCCAGCGGCCACGGGCGTCGCGCAGGTCGACGATTACGGGGGATACTATTCGTCGCACCTCGAATGGGCCTCGGAATTTTGGGGCCAATTTCGCGTTAAAGGCGGCGGCTTTGTTAGAGAGTGGGTACTCCCGCTTCCACACCCACTCCCCAACTTTTGGTTTCCATGCGCGGCGGCGTAGATTATAATATTTCTCCTGCCTTTGAAAAGCGCGCGCGAGGTGAATTTGGACTAGTTCGTACGCTTCTTCGAGGTGGCGACGAGTAGTATCCGGGGCCGGCGCGGGGTGGGATTCTGCGGCCTGCGCGTTTACTGGGGACATTAACTCCTGGCCGCAGTTTAGGTATGCCGGGGTGTATTCGGTTGCGTCGTGTCTCGCGGTATTAAATGCGAACTGGAGTTGGGGCACGCGTTCGTCCCAGTTGCGGTGATTGCGGTCTACGTACTAGGCGATCATGGTTTTTATAGTGCGATTTGTACGCTCCACGGGATTGCAGTGGGGTGCGTGGACGGGGGCGTACGCGTGTCTTATGTTGAAGGCGGCCAGCAACTTTTCTAGTTGGTGGGCGCGTAGTTGCGTCCCGTTGTCGGTTAGGATTACTTCGGGGCAACCGTGCCGGAATATAATGGCCTCGGAGACGCACGTGGACACTGCGGTGGCGGTGACGCGGTGCAGGGGTCGCATCTCTACCTATTTAGAGAAACGGTCCTGCATATTAAGGAGCCAGGTGTGGCCCTTCTTCGAGCGTGGGAGGGGTCCCACGAGGTCGAGGGTCACGTGTTGCCAGGGGCGGTTCACCGCGGTCGCGTTGAGGGTACCGGCAGGGCGGGTTTGCGCTACTTTATGTTCGAGGCAGTTGGAGCATTTTCGTACGTAGCGCGCGATCTCGCGAAACATCCCCGGCCAATAGTAGTGCCGCGCGATTCGGCAGATAGTTTTGGCTATGCCCAGGTGCCCGGCGGTCGCGTCGTCATGGTTGGCTTGCATAATGTCTGGTCGCTGCTCGGTCGGGATGCACAGCTTCCATTGGTTGTCAGCTGCGACTTCTTTGAAATCTAAGTTATGGAGGATGTGTCGGTACAATTTCCCTTGCCGTATCTCGTAGTCGGGGTAATCGCGCGGAGCGGTACTCACGGCGGTCTTTATCCGGCGGTACCATGCGCATCGCGGGGGTGCTTCGGCGGCGGCGACGATGGGTTGCCGTGAAAGAGCGTCTGCCACGCAGTTTAGGGCCCTCTTTCGGTACTTGATATCCATGTTGTATTGTTGTAGCTCGAACGACCAGCGTCCAAGCTTTCCGGTTGGCGCGTCAAGTTTCTGCAGCCACCGGAGGGATTGATGGTCCGTAACCACCGTAAACGGATATCCCTCCAGATAGTCTCGCATTCGGCGGATCCCCCAGATTACCGCGAGGCATTCTAACTCGGTTGCACTGTAGTTGCGTTCGGCATTATTAAGGGGTGATATACACCTAGGAGCCGGAAAAAAAGGTCATTTTTGTGAATTTTTTGAAGGAAAACTATTTGAAATTTCGGATTGGGAGTTTTTCTATCTAAAAGTATACACATTCAGGAATATGTTCAATTTTTTTTATTTAAAAAAATCAAAAATTGACGAGGTTGTTGTATAATCTTCGGAGCGCCGTAAAAAAATCTGGTACTCACTGGCGTTTCTTCAAAAATCATCTGAAACAAAAAACCAAAAAGATTATTAAATTAGATACTATAATCTAGTACTTGTTATAGGATTTTTTTCATTGTTTAGTTTTTGTTTTATAGGCAAAATAATAACTAATTTTTGGTCGTAAAATCGCTATGTTATGTTCAAACGTCCGCCATTTTGTCATAAATTGATATTTTCAAAATCGGCTATGACAAGTACTAGATTATAGTATCTAATTTAATAATCTTTTTGGTTTTTTTGTTTTAAATGATTTTTTAAGAAACGTCAGTACAGTGGGTATCGTTTACCCGGATTTTTTTACGGCGCTCCGAAGATTATACAACAACCTCGTCGATTTTTGATTTTTTTTAATAAAAAGAATTGAACATATTCCTGAATGTGTATACTTTTAGATAGAAAAACTCTTAATCCGAAATTTCAAATAGGTTTTCTTAAAAAAATTCACAAAAATGACCTTTTTTTCCGGCTCCTAGGTGTATATCTCCCCTTAATACGTAATCTGAAGTTGTGCATAAAAAGTAGTCGTGGTTGTCAAGCACCGATGCAGCATCCACAAGAACATCAATATCTTTGCCTCTATCCAAAATAGTATCGATTTGATCGAGCCATTACTGCCGTCTTTCCTCGGGATCTATTATGTCCTTTGTATTCAATAGAACGTCCATCACTTCTCCATCAGATATGTTGCAACCTTTCGGCGGTTTTACTAAATGAATAAGTCGAAACTAACTTGTACATTTGTATAAACAACTGAGAATCTGGATGCTCATTGGACCCACAGCAATACCGCATGATGCCGAAAAAACGCTGAAATAACAAATAGAACTTTTTGTAAACTACTTTCGAAATTATGTAAGACAAGAGTAACACGATTATATAAATACCTCCAAGTTGTCTTGATTAAGTCGTGCGGTCATTAAATATCTGAAATTACACTTTTCTACTAGAAAAATGCAAAGAGTGACCCCAAAAATGCCTTGTATTCTCGCCCTCGATTTCGAACTTTATTTTGGTGAAAAATGTTAGTAAACCATTAATTCTCTGAAAGTTTTAAATGGAGCATACTCTTTGTTGGCGAATTATGAAGCCTCAAAGTTATCATTTTGTACCGTGTTTCTCAAAACGGATCTTTGCATGCGAATAGCTTTTAGGCAAAGCATTTTTGAGAAAAATGTTTCAGATCAAAGTTGTAAGATGTGAACGGGTACACAAAATGATGACCTTTACTGTGACCTTGAAGACATTCCTGAAGGTCAT